TGCACACCATATAAAACAAGCAAGTAAACATGGTATACTACGTAGCCAGTGTTCAGATTCGACAGCGAAATTTTAATGACTATAGAAACGATCACCAATAGCAATAATTAACAAATAGTTAGCAACAATAAAGTCAGAAATAGCTAAATTTGCGATTAGAAACGATGGGACAGGATTCTTCTTTGTTTTTATATTTTTAATATGTAAAAGAAAGACGGCAATGTTACCAATAAAAGCGATACAACCAACTAACTAAATATACATTTGCAGTGTTACATGAGATAATAATCCATCACATGTCGATAGGCCATCGTATTTCCGCAATGGATAACAAGTCTGGATAGATGCTGGTACCATACAACACAAGTATAAACGTGTTGAGCGTCTGTAAAGTAGTAATATATTACGTCATTAGCTAGATTTAATGCTAATATTAGATTCAAAGCTATCTATACTTTAATATCTTGATTCGTTACTTATGATAAAGTCAATAAGTAAATCTGTGAGAGACTTAGCATCAGGGACTAGTTAACAATAAATTTCTCTTTACTGTAAATCCCTTTTGGTATATGAAGATTTTGTTGAGCAAAAGGATTTGTGTAAAATAGGGCTGGTGCTAAAGTAAGGGTGTACAATGTGGGTGAGAATTTGTAGAGTAGCTACTGATAGAATGTAACTCCTTCATTGATTAAATACATACAGCCGAATTTGAATAATTCGTTAACAGATCAGTTTTTAAACTCTAACTTTGAAATCAGATTATTTGCTAATAAAAATTATTTTACTTTGATTGACATCAACCAGCTCGCTAGGATAAGTGTTGCTACGAACTTTTGATGTAAGTACTATTTAGCTCTTTAGATTGTGGACTACTATCTTTATGAAATAATCCATTGATTTTTTATTAAGTTTATTTTTCTTATTATAGTATGATACCATACTATAAGCTAATCATCAATGCGAAACGGCTATTTTCCTGTTACGGTGTTATCTCACCATTTGAATAGATTTACGTAATCTTAGCTAATATGGTAGAACTGATGATAACTTGATGTTGTTTACTAATTATTGTCGATATATGACCATGTTATGTTAAATGGATTGTTTGACAGTATCGGTAATATGTAATAATGATTACTACGATTTAATAGAATAATCTCATGCTATCTCTTAGTCGTAATCATGTGTAATGAGGTATCGAAGTTATTTTTGTTATTGTT